TTTTAAATCCAAGCTATTGTGACACCAGATGTAAGTGGTGGCATTGACTGGGGAAATGGGCACAGTATGCACTGTGAGCCTGACACAGAAGCTGGCAGCAGTGGCAGACAACTGACTGCTATTCAATCTATAACAGTGAAAAAAGTTTTGTTTTAAATCCAAGCTATTGTGACACCAGATATAAGTGGTGGCACTGACTGGGGAAATGGGCACAGTATGCACTGTGAGCCTGACACAGAAGCTGGCAGCAGTGGCAGACAACTAATTGCAATTACATTACATAGAAAAAAAAATAAATAAAAAAAGCATACCTAACTTCTTCAGCATTACTTTTCCTATCTTATGAACAACAGCTACACTTTCCCTCCTCTTACTAAACATACGTGAGAATGAATCTAAAATGGGTGCTTCAGGAGGTGGGAGGGTCTGCTAGGGAGGGTGTGCTGCTAATTGGCTGGAATGTGTCTGCTGACTGTGAGGTACAGGGTCAAAGTTTACTCAATGATGACGAATAGGGGCGGGTCGAACCGCGCATATGTTCGCCCGCCGTGGCGAACGCGAACATGCTATGTTCGCCGGGAACCGTTCGCCAGCGAACCGTTCGGTACATCACTAATAAGGGATTGTATTCAATGACAACTAGGAGGATGAGTTGATGTAAGCTGCACTATTAAAATAATTAGTGAGTTTATCAGTGAAACACTTCAAAACAAATGATTGTGTAAACTCAGCGTTTAGTTACAAATAATAAAATAATCAAGCAAGGAATGACGAATTTCTCATTTCCAGTTATTAATCTCCTTTCATCTACAAAGATCAAGTCTTTGTCGTAACTGTCATAATCTCCAGTCAAAGCATTTAGTGGTTTAAACAGCCTTTTTCATCCTTTCTGATGAGAAATTCAACAATGTATTTTTTTTATTCACAAATGTATCCAATTGTTTGTTTTTATTGTGGTATGGTATTATTTTGGCATAAAAGAAAAGCAAAGTTTATGCATTTCTAAAGTTTACAAAAAATATTCAAAGTGCATGCATCCAAATATGGTTTTATAGTCTGGAAAAAGACAATGTTTTAATATATAGTTTGCATATAACTTGTCACATTGTTTTACATTGCCATTACATTTTATATTTTAATTCACTGTTATAAAAATGTAAATTTTTATACATTTTTCAAGTTGATATAGCACAAATTATGGGACCTTCGCAAAGCCAGTTTTAAAAAGCAAGGTAGCATCTTCAATAAAAACAACTTCAAAGGCTATGGTGACCGCCACAGGTTAAATGAAAAAACTAGCTTAACATTTCTGAAATAACAGGGAAAAGTCCACATGGTCTCTTGAAAGTCTTTTTCACTATACTCAGGGCACGATCTGGATACAATGAACTTTTCTTCTTGCTCATTGTGCACCTCAAGACTAGAGAAAGCTCTCAGGCTTAATTTGAAAAAAAAATATATATATATATACTATGCATGTTAGTTAATTCACAATGGAATCCCTTTTCCATCTGTGTTAAATGTGAAATTAGGGTACTCAAATAGTAGTTATTCTTAGCCCTGGCCATAATAGAAACATTTACCAAGATATCACAATAATATACTACAGTGCATCAGCTGAGCTTAAGCTTAAATTATTCTATTTCAAGGAGGTCTGAGGGGTTAATTAGACATCATAAAAAAAAGATACATTATTATTATTATTTCATTATTTATATAGCGCCAACAAATTCCGTAGCGCTGTACAGTGGGTGGACTAACAGACACGTAATTGTAACCAGACAAATGGACACACGGGAACAGAGGGGTTGAGGGGTTCAAATGATATACTTAAATAAAGCTTTTTTGACAGATTTTGACACCATATTTGCTGAAATCAAGATAATATGACTTTTTTGTCACAATGAAAAATATACTGCACATCAATCTTACATTAAATAGCACCATCTTGAATAATTTTTAAAAATAATTAATAATGCTGAATAGCATCTTAAGCACCTCCACTCTGATCAGAGAACTTGAATGGAACAATATTTTTCATGGATCAACTCTATCAACATGAATGTCCCAGAGTTCTCTACCTATTTCCTACCATACCTGTAATCCTCCTACCTGCTTTCTTCAAGTCCCTGAATTCGACCCTTGTAAAGTATATCTGGAGGGGTCATAGACACCTACTCCACATGATGCAACTAATGAGACCTAGACAGGTAGGTGACTGGGACTCCACCAACTCCATCATTTCTCCTAAACTATGGCACTCAATTACACGTCCACAGATCACTGACACATGGAAGATGATATAGTAGAGCCCCTGTTTCATGGGATATCTACACACTACCAGCTCCTGATGTCGGAATTCAGACTGCTGCCTTTCAAATTTCAATCACTATGGGAGGAAGATCTTCAAGTCATCCTGACAACACAGGAATGGAAAAAGATAGCTAGTTTCACGTATCTCAGTTCTATAAGCCTTTTTTCCCTGATACTCCGGATCAGGGCCGGACTGGGGAAAAAATTCGGCCCGGGCATTTTTAATTACAGCGGCCCACTGAAAAGGGGGCGGGACCAGATAGGGTGTGTTTTGTCATCCCCAATGACAAGCACGCCCCATCTCAAAGTGAGCATGTTGGTTCAATGCTCTTCCAGGGCATGAGAAAAGGGCCCTGTATTTGATCTGCACAGCGCAAGCAAATTTAATAACATGCTTGCATTGTGTTTGCTTGAAACTTGTCTCAGGGGTTTCCATAATTGGAATACTCACTGTATCCCATTTATGGAGACACTATGTGTTTGCTTAAAGGATATCTAGTGTGTTCATAGGGGATCCTGAGTGTGTATGTCAGAAATGTAGTGTGTGTGTAAGTGGTGCAGCGTCTGTGTGTAGGGGATCTAGTGTGTGTTTGAAGGACTCCGGAGTGCGTATAGGAGATCTAGTGAGTGTGTGACTGGTGCAGTGTGTTTGGGGGGTGCTGTGTGTGTGAGGGGTGTAGTGTGCATTTGTGAGGAGTATAGTGTGTGTGGGAGGGTGCAGTATGTGTGTGGGAGGGTGCTGTGTGTGAGGGCACTGTGCAAGGGTTCTGTGTATTTGAGGGTGCTGTGTATTTGAGGGTGATGTGTGTGTGTGTGTGTGTGTGCTAGGTTGCTGTATGTGTTAGGGTGCTGTGTCAATGTTAGGGTTCTGGTGTTAGGGTGCTGTGTGTGTGTGTGTGTGTTAGGGTGCTGTGTCAATGTTAGGGTGCTGTGTGTGTTTTAGGGTGCTGTGTGAGTGTTAGGGTGCTATGTGTGTGTTAGGGTGCTGTGTGTGTGTTAGGGTGATGTGTCAATGTTAGGGTGCTGGTATTGGGGTTCTGTGTCAATGTTAGGG